ATATTTTTGTCATGCGTTGGTCTAAAACCCAATTTCTTTTTTTCTTGGAAGGTACAAATTAACGGAATATTTCAATAATTTACCAAGTCATTAATTTGAATATTATTATATTTAATTTTTATATAAAATTTTAAATTTAAATACTATAAATTAAAAAAAAAACGTAGTTAAAAAAAGAATATTGTACTAAAAAGAACCATCCAAAATTTTCAGGATAGATTAATCATCAACAATATGAATTCATCATCAATAATTTGTATTTGATATTATGTTTTCTCAATTGGATAATAATGGATATGCTTTCTCCTAAGGTTGAAAACTACATTCCTCGTGAATTTTATATTGCTACAATACCAAATATCTTACAGATTTTGTTATAAGACAAACTACTTTTTTTTTCTCCTCTGGTGATAGGGCTTGCATTGCTCTACCCCATTGTGCACAATATTACAATTGTTTGCATGTGCCATAGACCCATGGTCTCACTTGCGCATTGTGGATGACAACAGTCAACAGCAATACCCTTGAATTTATTATTCTCAGAACGACAAATTATTTTATCTTCTGTGCCTGTCTGTTCTGACAATTATTTCTTCGTCATGCCCTTGTCTTGTGGGAGTTTAGAATTTGCTTCCATGTGACACCATCTATATTGCATTATTTCAAGTTTCTGGTCTCGTGATCTTGCCTTTTTTCTTTCTTTTCTTTTCTTTTCCTCGACAAGAGAAAAGGGCAAGTGTATACGCATTTTAGCTTTTATAGATAATAATTTTATCGAAGTAATGTTTTAGTTAATGTGTCAAAATCATGAGCTGATGATCTGTAGGTACATTATTAGATATATTCTTTGCCTCGCAAACTAATAAATGGGAAAATCTATAGGGAGATATTATCTTTTATAAATAATAATGGAGTCTTGTTATAGTTAACGTGTCAAATTAATATGCTATACATGGATATTGTAGGTGTGATGACTGATGAGCTACTCTATAATTTGGACATATTTCTCTGTCAGTTTTGATGATGTAAATAGTATTGATAAAAATTAAAACATGATTCCCTTTTGTAATGGTTTATTTGTTTAACTTAAAAGAATGTGATATATTCTTAAGTTTTTTCTTTAATTACTATTTTTAACCTTAAAAAACTTCTGTCAAAAAAACTTACAAAAAAACCTCTAAATCATTTTTTTGGTTTTTTTTAATTTAAAATAACTTAAATAATTACTCTATTTTTTTTTATAAAAAAAACATCTTCAATTAAAAAACACATTAAAATTCCCAAATAATATATAATTAATCAAGCTAAATGAGAATGGAAATGAGACGATATGGTGGGGTGGGTATATTATTATAAAAATAATAAAATAAATTTTATTATCACATATGCACTGTAGTACAATTATTATTTAATAATTAGTACACAAAATAACTTAAGAGGAGATTTAGTAATATATATTTTATTTATAAATTCTAAAAGTGTAAACAGTTCTTTTTCTTTTTCTTTTTTAACTTCATTTAATAATTTAAGATTCTTATTACATGTAATAAGATTGTACAAGAGATTAAGTAATTCTTAATTATTTATAAGTTCTAAATGCGTTGATAATATTCTTTTAGCCTAATCATATTTTTAGTTCATACTTTTACATTTTTATAAGTAATTCATGTTTTTTGCTTCCTATAAAATGCATATTTCATTTTTTACTTTTCTCATCCTAATCTATAATTTTAGTTTGCTTTTATTAAGTGCTTACGTGGCTCATATAGAAGGCTACATTAGCTTGTCAAGTAAGATATCAACAATTTCACTTGTCAAGTAAGATATCAACAATTTCACATTAAGCACCGAAATGAAAGTAGAACATTAGACTAATTCAAACAACTTAATTGATATTTTGAGAAAATTATTTATGAAGTATTTAACATTTTTTATTATAAGTTTAATACATAGTTTGATATCTGAACATTTAAAAAAATTAATTAGATTTGTAAATTAAAAGGTTTCTAGTGGAGTATTATTTTTTTTAATTTAACACTAAAAGTTGGTGATCTATTTACGATATATGAAATATGACAGAATATTTTTATGCTTTATTTTAATAAGTATCATATTTATATTATTTCTTTATGAACGTGTTAAACAATGCAATGGGATATATATGTTAAAGATAGTAGTGATTAAGATACAAGTTAGATGAACCAAAAGTCATTAGTTTAAATGATTTGATATTTGGGTTCCTTAATTAAGGATTGGAGTTTGATCTTCGTCTTCTAATAAAAAACATCATTCTACCTCTATAGAGATTAATCCGGTAAAAAAAAAAAAAAGTTATGTATGAGTGAATGAGTTCTTGCATTGTACTATGATAGATCCAATAATATTTTTAAAATTTTAGAATTGGTTGTTGAAGTATAAGCATGCGAAAAAATTTTGTCAAATTTTATAAATTATAAATAAATCTCTAACTAGAAGACTAAACTACAAAAATATAAAAGGATAAAAAAAATCTGATTATAATTTTTTTTTTTAATTTAGGGTCCAAAAAGCTTAGGAAGAAATAATATTATACAGGTAGAGGTCGGAGAGAATGTGGCTCAACTGTCTCAGCCACCATAACCTTTAAACATACACACTAAGTGTACTCTCTAAGTACTTTTAGCTACCATCATCCCAAAACCCTAAACCCTAAACCTTAAACTCTAAACCCTAAACCCTAAACATGTCCATATTGGAATACAAATAATGTCTCATATGAATAAAATAAGAAGAGAAATAATAAAGTTATAATCCATATCCCCTTAGACATATACTATAAAATAACTCCCTCAAATTTAAAACTACATTTTAGTTCCTATAATTTTTAAAGATCTCATTTTTTAATGGCTCAAGTCACTAATAACATATAAATATGTATTGAATTTAATGTTATATTTTTACTAAAATAGATGCTTATAAATAAATTTTGTGCGACAATATTAATAGATTTTCTAAAATCATTGAATATAAAGAGTAAAATATTTTTTTAAAAATTATAGAAATTAAAAAATTAATTTTAAATTTAAGAAATTAAAAATAAAATTATCTTAAATTTATGGGACTAATGGCATATTTACACAAAGAATTAAATATTAGTATTGTGCAATCGCACTTGCTAGTTCTAATATAAAATAATAATGATCAGTTAAGCCTTTTTTATTTATGCACGTAAACATTTTTTTCCTTTTTTTTTACATGTACTTAATCCATTTTCTTTAATTTTTTTATGTACGTAATTCTTTTCTTTTTTAGTAGTTCAAAAGAATTTGTTTTTTCTTCCAATGACAATATGCTTGCGTAGTTATTATTGGTATACTATGATGACATACAAATATAGAATGCATGTGCAAATGGCATCATTCTGCATTTCTTTTTTATTTCGTTTTAGATGCATCGGCCAAGGAAGAAACAAACATTTTTCTTTTGGTAGTAAAAGAAACAAAACCGATGCTGTTTTTGTTTGGTGTACCATTGTTAGATACTTAAACGTTGACTTTTTTATTTTCATCGAAATCTAAGCTATGATCTTATCACATTTTCACTTTAATATTGTTAGTAGCTGGCATCACACGTTACCAAAGCCCGTACGTGTCGTTTTCTAATTAGAAAAAGGAACATTCTAATAACATTGCCAACTATTATTGACTGCTATTCAATGTTTTTTTTCAACATATGTATTCTTAATTAAAAAGTAAGGAGCAAATTATCATGATAGACATTTATTCAAGTGTAGTTGATATTTTTAACAAATATTTTATTTATATACCCGAACAAGTGATAGAAGATTTTATTATGCACTTAAATAAATAAAAATTATATTATTTCACACTTTTCTTTTATTTAATTATTTTTTTCACACTCAAAAGAAAGGAAAAAGAAGGTCTTTCTCATTGTAGATGTTCATTTGTTTGCGTTGTGTGATCTTGTAATTTGTATGATTGTATGGCCGTGAGTTGAAATTTTACGGCTCACAGAAAGTCCAATTCAGAAAGTAATGCAGATCTTTTCAATTTAAAAGTTGCATAAAAAACAAGAAAACGTTGATAGATGTGTTTATTCACACCTCATCCTCTCTAGACAAGTTATGTTATTACATGGAATGCATAATGTGGAGAAAAAACATATATTAAATGGGTTGAATAGTATCAATTAAAAATTTGCACTTTTTTTCAATAGTGAAGTACTAATGTTAGATAGTAAAAGTGTTAGAGAAGAGGGAGACGAAATACAAAGTATATTTATACTAGTTCGTCTTAAACATCAAAATTTCGTCCAATTCTCAATTCAATCATATTTAGTTTCACTATCTTAAACAAGATAAAAGTATTTTTTTCACTAAACCACTTTTGGCTTAAACTTAAGTATTATTTGAGTTGCATCTTCAAGCAATCTACCCAAATATTCTTTTCACACAAACTCTTTCAAGGTTTCAACACCAAGTATTCTTTTATAATCAAGTTTCTTCAAGCTCAAATAACTATTCTTTTATAAACAAGCTTCTCCAGACTCAAACAAATATTCTTATAAAGACAAGTCTCTTCAGGTTCAAACCCAATTATTTATAATTACTAAGGTTTACAGGTTGTTTCATCTTCCTATTAAGACGTGATATAATAGTTTAAGTACAAAAAGCTTTCTAGAAAAAATTTGAATATGTTTATTACATGATGTTTTTCCAAAAGAGTTCTTTCTGGTCTTTCTTATCGTAAAACTTCTTATATAGTAGCTTAAGTGAAAATAACCATTGCAAAATCTTGCGGGTCCCTCACAAACTTGCTTCGTCTATCTTTGTTACAAGTTTCTTGAGGTGAGAAGTTTCAATTAATGTATTAAATACTTGCATTAATAGCATTTTACCAAATTGTCACTATTTATCTAATAAAGAAGGCTACTTATTAATTTTAAAATATCAAATGGACTATGTACAACGTGTGTCCGTAAGGAGAAGGTTCTACGTTGACTTTTGCTGACTTCTTTTGGTGATTTTAGGGATCCGTTTGTTCTTGATTTTTGTACAAAGAATAAATTAAAAATCAACTTGGCCACACCTTTTGAATCATCCAGAGTGCCCCCATCTTGATGCAAGATCAAGAAAAATGTAGAATTGAAGATGAACACATCAACGGTTGAACCAAACACATTAACTTATTCTCTCAACATTATGATCTATATCAATGCCAATGGAAGCCAGAGAACTCCACAAATGGACAAACAAATTTTGAATTATGACCCCATTGCATGATACCCTGTCGATAACCATTTGGCTACTACTCATGTTCACATTCTTTCAATTCTTTGAATCGGGTTCACTAGTTGTTGGAGTATGTATTGTCCTTTTTACCAAAGCTATTTTCCAAGGATTCCCACCCAATTCCTCGAATACTACTATCAAGTTCTTTGTTGGCTTTAACCATGATCTTGGCACGTGATACCTACAAAATTCCAAAACACAAAATATTTAACATTTTGTATGCAAAATGTTTGTCTCATTATAGAGTAATGCTAATCACAACCAAAATTGAATAGTGTATACAAAATAAACTTTAGCACAGAGAAGATTTAGATACAAGCTTAAAAGAGTTTTTTAAAGTTTCTCTACAGAAAATAAGGAGTTTTTTTTTTTCAACAAAAAAATTTTCAAAAACCCTTTTAAACTTGTCTCTAAACAGATTCAAAGCAGCACATTAGATATTGTATGACACACTACAAAAACACAATGACTATGCATAGAGATATGTGTGATTTTGTCATCCTAAGGATAAGGATAATGGTTAAGTTTGAATTTTTTGCAGAAAAAGTAGTACCATCGTTGGGTAGGTTGTCCACAACCCAGTTGGCATTTTGCAGGCCGGAATGTCCCAGCATAGTTGCAAGAATTACAGGAACCCTTTGCATAATTCATCCAATACCTTCCTATGCTTTGTCCATTGATCCATGCTTGACCCTTTCCCATACTGCTCAGGTCCAAGGCCAATACTTCATTTCCATCAGGTGCATTGAAATAAGCCTGAAGGTTCCGAGTTAACATTGATCATCCATAAGCTTTCAGTAGAAGAAGTTACTTTTTTTTTTTTTAAGAGAAGTTACTTATTATATCATAAAGCAATAACAATTTACCTTGTGCCATTTCAACTGAGACGGGCTCCTGGCAGCTAGTGAATTTGTGACCCAGTCAACAGATGTGACCCCATTGGGAGACACCAAATTCATACCCTCTCCTTTTAGACCAATCTGTTTGTTTAGATACCATAGTTAGGAACTAATTTCCCTTTATATTTAACAAATAATAATATTAGTCACATTCTTTTACCAACACTCTTTGTTGTTGGCAGAAATTTATTGGAATTTACAAATTTGAGTAGGTTCTAAATAAAAGAGATTAAATAAGACGTGAGACTTGTTAAAATTTGTGATTTTCAACAAATTTCAATCAATAATAGAGTGAGTGTTTAAAAAAGAATGTTAAAGAAAATGTCTCTAGCATTCATTAAAAAATGAGTACTATGTATACTTAATTAAGATTTGTGTGCATCAGACCTGGTATGACCATTTCTGCCAAGTCAAATCCTTCTGTCCGTGGTCAAGACCATGAAGCAAAACTCCAGTGATCCCAGCTTTCCATGTTTCAAAATGGAATCCAACATTCTAGGGAAAAAGGAAAGAACAAAAGCAATCAATGTGTGTTAAATTGCCAAGCATACATATTGAAGCATTCAAATGGTGCAAAGGGTTAAGAAGTTCAAATTGGAGGCCAAAAGCAAGGTACTACTGACAGGTAATCCAACAGCTACACTAAGAAGTGCTATTTTATTAGTTCCAGCACGTAGGTTAACAGGGCCATCAAATGTGCAACTTCTGTCTTCCCTTGTCCCAAAAGAGGAGCCTATACAAGGAAATAGGAATGAATAATCTCATCTTGGTTGAACTTGAATTGCAAACATAAGAAATACCAAGTTTAACTACGAACCTGAAAATTGACCGTTAATAAACACATGGACAGCATGGCCTGCAGAATGAACACTAATGCTAGGCTTGCGCCCTCCTCTAAGAAATGATTCTGATGAACTAATGTCAACACTGTGTCATGCACACCAGAAAAGATTTCAACTGATTAGAACTAAAAAGTGACTACTAGATGGCAAAAGAATTATTTGATTGGTGTTTGGAAATATAGAAGACAACCTATATATCAAGTAACTTACCTGGTTATATACCATAGATAGTCACTGGTGTCCCTGGTAGCATTGATCTGTTCTAATAGTCCAGAAGCTGTAATCTTGGAACTTTCTGCTAGTGAAGATACATCTTCATCATAGGTCTCCCATGAGAACAACTTGGAATTGCTAGGCACCATTTGTATTAGTGAAGTTTGAAACCTTACCTTCATTAAGGCATAAAAATCCAATCAATAACTAGATGCAAAAGGCAAGGTTGATAACTGATAAGAAATACTTGATGGAACAACAATAGATTCCATCATACTTAATCATGACAGAATAAAAGGCCCCTCTGAAATTCTTACTCTTGCAGTGTTAAATACATCTGTTCTACAATCAGGGAGGATGCTTATGGACCAAGGAGGCAAGTTATATTTCCTATTATTGAACATCACTTTTGCTGCAGAATTTGAATTGTAGTTTGCAAGAAAAGCTGCACATGCTCCATTTCTTGAAGAGAACACATGAGCCTGGAAGATAACTAAGACATGATCATGGTTATCACCATGAAAGTAGTTTATCTTAAAGTACAAGATTAGGAGCCTATTTGGGTACGAGTTTATAAGCATTTTTTAGAGTTCCTCTATTGAAAAATACTTCTAACTTATATCCAAATAGGCTCTAGATGATATTACTGCTTTACATTAGAGGTAACTGACCTGCTCATACGTTCCTAATGATGTGACAGTGGGATCTGAAGAAACCAAAGCCCGTTCACATTGCTTAATAGCTTTATGAAGGTCCTTCAAATGACCATATTTAGGTTCCCTGATCAAACCTGAACACAGTAAATACTCGATTACAATCTGCTAATACAAGTGAGGATGGGATAGATTATGAAACAAAGCTATTTTTATAAGAGGTCAAAAAAAAAATTCAATGTGTGTGTGCATATGTATCTTCTGGAATAATTAAGGGGTACTAATCATTTCATAGACTTGGTTGTCAATGGAACAAAAACAAACAAAAGAATTTTCTAGTTGAGTAAATTACATTCAAGTGTTCTAGATAGATGTCAAGTGATTTCATGGTGAAAACAAAATAATAAAAGAATCTTATCATGTTTTGAAAGCATAATTATCTGACCATATTCATCAATTGGAGCATCATAGTCATAGCTTGTAGTAACGAATGGCCCTCCAGCTGATCGTCCAAAATTAGTTCCTCCATGGTACTACAACATGTCATTAACCCCATGAGTAAGATTTATGTTTATAAATTACGGAAAGGTATGTTTGGTTTAAATGGAAAGAAAAAAACATCATTGAAGGAGACCAACCATGTAGTAATTGAAAAATGAGCCACCCTTTTGTATGAAACGGGCAATCCCAAATGCTAGATCCTGAACTGGTCGTTGGTAAATTGGACCACCAAATTCTGTGAACCTATTGTCCAAAATGGAATAAGAAGAAGAAACAAGATCAAAATGATAAAAATAAAAAAAAATTCAGACAACCGTATCTAAATTTCACTCAAAACCAACATAGAAAACTACACAATATAACTTACCAACCACTCCAAGACTCAGTCCAAAGGCTAGGTTTGTATGGTTTATTTGGAGAGAAGTCATCACAATAAAAACCATTGCATGCATTTATCTGTTGAGAAGAATCAGATAGACCCTTAATAAAAATCTAATGATAATGAACTAAAAAGAATGAGGAAAAGACTATTGTTGAAGTCATATTTGATAATCCCAATAGTGTATCAACTGAAGCAAATGAATAAGAGGATGTTTGGATGCAAACTCAGAAAAACTTTTGAGAGCTTCTTTACTCAAAAAAGTTCTTTATTTTCAGTAGATAAACTCTCAAAATTTTTTGTAATTTGTATTCAAACAAACTCTAAGATCTTTAAGGACTTGAGATGGCTCACCACTGGATCTGGGGCATCATCTTGCTTGCACATTACCCAGGGGACACCAGTACCCAATCCAACAGCCATCTTTGCAGCCCAGTTTGTGTATGCATGACCAGCACCTCCCAGTGCCCTGCTTTCAGGTCCATACTCATTCTCAATCTAGAAATTACATTACAAACAAAAATGGAGACAGAGTTAAAATTTAATCTTGAAGTAGTGATTTATTAGCTTGAATTTTGTGAGCTCCAGATCCACTCCAGAACTTTTGAACATCAAGATTTCACTTTCAGTCAGAAACTTATTACCATGTGGGAAACAATTTTTGAAGAAACACTTTCGGCTATCATGGTCCTATGCTAGAAAAAGTAAAAGGAACTTCCTACCTACCTGAGAAAGAATGATTGGACCACCCTGAGACTGAAATAGCTTTTCGTTCTTCATCATCTGAACTATTTTCTGAGTGAAACTTTGCATTGCAGCCTAAAAGTTAAAAACAGTAAAAAAAAAAAAAAAAAAGTACTTTCCTGGTTAAGACCATTCAAGACACGAGTAAGCAGAATGACTCGGAACTCAGAAGACAAAAGATAGAACTAAAATTCTTAACCTTGAAAGGACCATTATCTGTTCTGAAGCTGATGCCAGGAACATACTTCAACCAAACAGGAAACCCTCTACACCATCAAAGAACACAATAAGCATTCATACCAAGAAACCAAGGAAATCCACAAAGTAAAGCTGAAACTTGAAAGTGCATGTACCCAAAGTTCCACTCAGCGCATACATAAGGTCCAATGCGAAGGTGGACATAGAGCCCAACCCTTTGCACTGTCTTAATGAACCGTACCAGATCGTACCTCCCTTGAAAATTGTACTGCAACCCAACATTATAAAAAGCACACACAAAAAAAGTGTGAGATGGTACTTGAGAATTTGAAACTGAATTGAATCAAAGATCCAGATTCCAGAGTGGTACATTGCCAGGAGATGGTTCATGAACATTCCAGAACACATAAGTGTCGATAACATCAAGGCCTCCATCTTTCGCCTTCCTAATTAGATCCTCCCACATCTACAACAACACACACATTTCAAACAAACACACAAGAATCAACAAACTTCAAACAAAACAAACAAAAAGTAGTAAGGAAAAAGTGATATATAACAAATGTACTTCAGGGGTGCTTCTGGGGTAGTGAATGGAGCCAGAGATGAGGATTCTCCTTTGGCCATTGATGATAATGGCTTTCCTATCATAGGTGACACTGCAATGGATCAACTCAGAACCTACAAACAGAACAGTGAAGACAAGTACCAGAAGCTTGGAAACTGAGTTGGTTTCCATAAATTCTTTGCTTTCTTTCCCTTGTGGAGGGAAAGATTTGAAGCTATACAAGACACGAGAGTGAGAGAGTATGTGTGAGGTAAGGATTCTGTTTGTTGTCTGAACCTTTCTTTCACTTTAATATTGTAAGTAGCTGGCATCACACGTTACCAAAGCCCGTACGTGTCGTTTCTATTTAGAAAAAAGAACATTCTAATAACATTGCCAACTATTATTGACTGCTATTCAATGTTTTTTTTTTTAACTTATGTATTCTTGATTAAAAAGTAAGGACCAAATTATCATGATAGAGATTTATTCAAGTAGTTGATATTTTTAACAAATATTTTTTTATATATACGAAATAGTGATAGAAGATTTTATTATGTACTTAAAAAAATAAGATCATATTATTTCACACTTTTCTTTTATTTATTTATTTTTGTTAAAGTTCAATGCTTTCTTCCTTCCAATTCGCCACTCGTAAATGAAGTACCATAGTTCATAAGTTAAACTACTATAAATGTGTCGGTTGCAGATACAAAAATTATTGCCCCTGAAAACATTTTCCGTTTCTATGTCTCTTTCAAAGTCCAATCAATTAAGAAACACCCAATTAATATGAACTTGTAATTTGTATATAATTATTATTATTCTGAAAATCTTATGGGGAGATATATATAAAATATGGTCAGACAGCTAGTGCGAGACATCGTAGTTTGTCTCTCTGCAATATTCCACAATTCTTATTGGCTATTGTACAAGACTACAAATGCAACAGCAAGATGGTTATACTCACAGAAGGATGTTTCCTTCCCTTGGATGTCGGTGGGAGAGATATTATTGACGTGGACGATATAAGAGATAACAACACTAAGGTGGGTGTATAATTATGTTTCCTCATGCATGCATTGGTGGCAATGTGGTGACCTCAGGATAATGAATTAGTAGAGTAATCATTAGTCTTGTGACAGATTGATTTATTTTCTATCAGCAAACGTCTTTTGAAAAGGAAAAGAAAAAACCATTTTCCTACTTGATACATCGCGCAGTTATTGATTACCTTGGTTGTGGCCAAAAAATTAGAGATCAAAAAGCCTAGTTTGTAGCATATATATTGACTTCATTACTAAGTTTAATTACAACTAGTAGTCTCTTCCACATTAACAGAATTTCATTATATCATCTATCTTATTCATCTATCTATATGATGTAAATCAAAAATAAATATTATTGAGAATAATAATAAAAATAACAATAATAACAATGATAAAAAAAATAAGATAACAATGATCGTGATACTAAAGATAATAATAATGATAATAGTAGAAGTGATGAGTGATAGGTTTTATGAATGTTACAATAATAATTTTTTCATAAAACAAAATTTTTAGCAAATGAATAAAAGTTGTAAGATTTAAATTGACGGATAATTATAAAAGTATTTTATATATTAATTTGAATTTATCTAACAAATTATTATATGATTTTCAATTTTTTAAAAAAAATTGTAGATTTGATATTTGTATTAAAAACTTTTAATTCAACGGTTATATCATTAAAATTTGATAAAAAACATGACTTATTGAACTCTTGAAGTAAGTAAATTTCATATATGTGTGTGAGAGAGAGAGAGAGGAGGGATACACTTAATTCAAGAGTAAGTCTACTCAATAACTTATCTAACCGTTGAATTGAATATTCATAGTGCATAGATTAAGTCTGTAAACTTTTTAAAAAAATTTAAAAATTATTTGATATTTTGTTTCATTAATTCAAATTGGCAGATAATCATAAAAATATTATATACGTTGATTTGAATTAATGAAACATAATATCAAATAATTTTAAATTTTTTAAAAATTTATAAACTTAATATATGCATTATGGATGTTTAATTCAATAGTTGGATTGCTTAAATTTAATATAGAATATAAGTTATTGAGTAGAGACTTACTTTTGGAGTAAGTGGATCCATTATCTCTCTATCTCTCTCTCTCTCTCTCTCTCTCTCTCTCTCTCTCTCTATATATATTATATATATATATATATATATATATAGGATTTTTCCCTTTATAAATAATCATATTAATTTTTACAAAGACCATAATATAATAAACACCAACATTTAGACATGTAATTATGTATGATTTTTCCTAAAAAAAATATATGAATTTTTTGTTTCGTGACTTCTACCAATGATTAGAATGATTATCTCGTATAGTATATGATAAATTAAATATTGCTTCACCTTAGTATCTTTGTTTCCAACACACTTGATGGCAATCAGTTTGATGAAACCATAATAAAAGACATTTTGCATGGCCACAGTCACACGATGAAGATACCTATAATTGTGAACAGAAATATAATATAAAGAATGTGTAATTGAATATATTAAATTAAGAACCATCACAAATAATACACTCATAATCCATAGCTACACCACTGATAAGGAAAGAAAGTCAACACCAGAAACTATGTACAAGGCATCATGTTGGCATATAAAGAAAGGGATTGGCATGTCCATGCCAATGACCTAGTCATCATGACTAAGTTGTGATCTATTGACACACCTAGCTATAGGAGCTCTAAAGACATGGTGTATGCCTCTATCTCATCTAATTGTATGCACACGGCCTAAATGCTCTTGAGTACTAAGTGCAACCGTCAATATGTCTTGATGCCCCTCCAACATATGAAAAATATGATACTTACAATCCTCACTACTACTTCTTGAGTGGCGTCATTTGTGTACTTTCTTGATTTCCTCTATTAAGTTGTTTTCCACTTGGCATGACGACTAGGTCAACTCTATTGGTTGGCCCATAATCCATCACCCAAAGAAGCAGCAACCTCGTTGATCATGTTTTCCTCAAGCTTGTCTTACACCCAACGAGATAGTATGTAGGTGTAGACATTAAGAGCATTTAGCTCTTGTGCCGGTCTTCTCTCTTCCTGTTATATACAAAATATAAACACAAAATTCATATAGTAATAACAAAACATATAAGTAAATAAATATAATTTACATAATTGTTGATCTGACTTAATTACCAATAATATGGCAAGAGTTGGTACTCGTGAAACTTGTTCCAGCTCTCTTGATCAATATATTGATAATAATAACAAGGATTTTATCTTTCTTGTCATAAAAAATGTATTCATTGCTGAGTTGAATCTTAAAACCCCTCCAATGCTGGTTAAAATAACCAACATATTTATTCCTCAATTGGTCAACATTGGGAATGTCATAAGTGAGTTGCATATATAAAATTTTGTTAGTAAATTTGCAATATATAATTAACAATTATTTTATATATACAACGATAATGTTTCATATCGTGATAGTCTACCATATCTAATTATTCACGCTCTCACCTCTTAGGAACATGGTCCTAACTCTCAGAAGTAATAGAAGCCTTGCTCCTCCCAATCACGACTACAAAACTGTGAAATTGTTGCTTATATAGTCCATAAGCAAGCCTCATTTCCATATCAATGTCAACGTGTTTCAGCTCGCCTTTATTTTGGCTATTAGTCAGATCTTTCAATGTAGTAGGTTGCCTAACCGTCTTCTTGGTAGGTTGACTCGGCTCTACATCTCTTGAATCGGATGGAGGAGGAGAAGGAGGAGGACTACCGCATATGCTAGCCATAGGGTCTGTAAGAAGAAAATATGAGTCATGTATTAATAATTAAATAACAAATATTATACACATAAAAAAAATTAAAAAACTTACAATGAAGCGTGCAAATGAGTGTTGTATCATCAAAGAATAGAGGTTGTTGTGTCGTTGGAGAACTAAGGTTGCTATGTCATCGGACTAAAGAACCTTGTCGGACTGAAGAACAGAGTTCTCAACAAACCCATATTATCCGTCTTAAACCCTAAAAACAATGGAAGAAAGAGGAAAAACCTTTAAACCTAGGAGTGCACGGAGGAGAACGGAAGAAGAAGGTTGCACGGAGTGAACAAAAGAAGTGGTCGCTAGAACATAGAAATCACAAATGTTTGTTGAAAATAGTGGATATTGTGCACGAAGGAGTCACCGAATATTGCCTCAATCGCAGCTTCATCACTATAGAGAAAAAAGAAGAATAGTAGAGAACACGAATGGGTCTGTGCCCTCAAAGTGACCTAATAACATTTTATGGTAGGTAACAATTTACCCATCATAGAATGTGAATATACGTCATAGAATAGTTGGAGTTAAAGGTTGATCAACACATTCTATGATGGGTGTTTGACTTACCCATCTTAAAATGTTCTTTCTATGACGGATAAGTCAACACCCGTCATAAAATATTTTGACATAGTTACAAATATGTTACCACACCACTTTTCATGTCGTGTGAATGACACTCGACATAAAAAGTACATAAGAAATGTCATTTTTGTATTAGTATGACATTTGTAATGAAAATAATTTAGGAAGAACATGATAATATCACTACAACCCAATAGAACAAGTATAGCAAGTCTAAGCGCAAAGTCAAACACCCTAATGGCTTCAAGATTACTGATGGATTACTCATTTAAGCCTTTTTTATGTTTTTTCCTTTTAATCAAGTGTTTAGATGTAAGACACATGTACTAGTGGTATTTTTCCTATTTATATTTTGACTCGTGACAATTTTAAAATGAATATTTTTTTCTTCTAGTATTTCATAGTCCCCTAATTTTAGTTAAGGGTGACAAATAGCTAGATGGATTGGATAATTTTTTAAGCAGATTATAATAGACAAATAAAAATAATTCATTAATTCATCTAGATTCATTAAAATTTCATATAAAAATTCAATCCATTTAAAACAAAAGTTTCATCTAATCCATCCATCAACAATTTTTTCATGAATGAATGAATCGGTTCATCCATAAAGTAATGTCTTAAAAATTAAATAATTTTTATTTTTGAAATATCTTATTATTTTTTTTATAAGTCGTTACATTTTTATATAGTTTTATAAAATTCATAAAACATTTTTTATATTAAAATAATCTTTAGAATCTTGATGTAATAAACATCTCATATTATAATCTAATGTCAAAAGATAATAAATGAATCACAAATCATCTATAAAATTAAATGAATGGATTGAATTTAATCTATTATTTATTTTTGTTGTAATA